CCCCCCCCCCTCCTCCCCCCCATCTGCCACTAAGATAATTAAGGAAATACAATTAATGTAAAAACAAGGAAATTATTTTTTAACATGCAGATTTCAATAAATTATTTTGCATTTATGGCCATTACCCTGGATTAGCTTCATCTTTCGTAACGATGCTCAGATATTACTTCTATTCCTGTTGAACTATAGTACGATAGACCAACAGACATTGCATTCAGAAGTTCCATCGCAGATGCTCTTAACCGTTACTGTAATGCAGATGATCAAAGAAGGACTGAGTGTGGTTTACCAGGGTACGTTTGTGATTTTATAGTTATTCGGATTTTGTGCGTGTCTTATCGCCATGAGGCATGACACGTGATGCTTTCAACCTCTTTTCAATGCTTTCATTTACTTTCAACATGCATGGTTACAGATTGAAATATCCTTACAAATATAACCAATAAAGGCTTACGATTCATGTCTATCTAACGCATATCATCTATTCATGAAAATGTTGTTATAGTTCAAAGAGAAAGACGCCGTGTATAAGTTGCTCATTAAGTCCATTGCTTCATTTAATATAGGCATGGGATTCTATTCTCAGAGTCTAATATCTTCCGCCTACCTAATGAAACGATTCAAAATAACGATGACCTTTTAGTATCATATTACGGAATTTATCCCAGTGGAATTCAACGTATCGATCGTGTTCCTGTACCTCGATCTGTACTACTGAGTGCTTTGAATGACAGGCTGGACGCAATTGTGGCTTCTACTGGAGTAACTGCAATAATCGAAGGTCAGTTTGTCGAGTAATTCCTAATCCTTGCGATCCTAACCCTCATCCTATACCCCCTATGTTTACAAATAAACTTACTAGATATAAGACTGTGTACCAAAGCAAATTACGTAATTTACAGGCATTTCTTCATGAAAACTATTCCATATTATAATTATTAATTCGCCTATAATTAACATGCAATCTATTTGAATTGTTCTCTGTAATACATAATAATGCAATGAATCACCACTACAAGTATTAGTGAAACAAAAACCTGTTCCTAAAAAAGTCTGTTGTTGGAAGTATGAGGAAATGAAAGTCTGGAAGGTTTACAAGAAAACAGTTTCCCTCTTTCTATGCGAAAATTTTTTTTAAACTTTTGCTAAGCGGCTGTTTCAACATGTACTGCAGTACAAGTGATCATTTCGCCTAACTGCCACTCAGTTTAGCCTTACGTTGTATACATTATGATTAAGGTGTTGGAACATGTCATTATATACCACTGGGGGGAAGTGGCTATATACTGAATGTGATTTATATAGCCGAGAGAAGAATCGACGTGGAATTTTTATTTGATATCCCTCTTTGGAGTCCAACTTCGTTTTAATAGAATTTGATGCAACTTGAATCCCGCATACTGATTTTGAGTTACCATTACAACTGTTGCATAATATTCTTTGCGTTCCCAATTTTTAGACATTGACGAATGTCAAATGAATATAGATGGCTGTGGGCAATTTTGTACTAATATACCAGGCAGTTTTGTCTGTTCTTGTCTCATGGGATATCAACTAGATAACGACAAGACTACTTGTATTGGTAGGTTCTTTCAACTAATATCCTTGTATTAAATATCATTGTAATGTCATTTTGAAAAACCGTCGATGCGCTGACTACTTTATAATTCCTTCCTGTTTAATCTGACTATTTCGCGTTGAAATTTCCCAACATTGCGATACCAAAATCCCAACTTGTTCATGCATGCAAATTGAATCATTTCAGTTTATTTTCAATATGTTTACAAGAAATTTTTAAAGAGAATACCCGCAGTAAAACTGATCATTTTTATCATGACTTTTTTAAGTAACAACTTACTATTTTTAACATTATTAATTAATTATTGATGAAATTTAGACTTCGCTAGTGCGTTCCTTTCCCCGGGTGTAAATAGCCGGGTACCCTCGCGCCGTTGGCTCGGGGATAAAGAAATTTAAGGCCAATGTTCTCGGAAATTGCAAATAATCAGAAATCCTCGCTGCCATGGTTGGAAAGCATCTTCCCTCACCCGTACTTTCGTTTTGCGTTACATTATATATTAGGACCCTTGTGAACCCCGGGTACGAGGTTGTCATGATCAGGGGGCTCCAATCCCGCCAAAACCTCTGTATAAAAAATTTTTCCGTGAAGTGCAACGTCATGCATTAAAGGTTAATGCAAAAATTAGTAGCATGATGCTAATAATAATAATAATAATAATAATATAATATGCTCCTCAGACGCCAGCAAATAAATGACTGAAAATGCCCTGAAGTTGCTAGCGCTGTTTTGGGACAAAAACGATAGATGAAATCGACTAAATTTGAAACACTGTCATATATTCATTTGCTTCCAGATATCGACGAATGCTCTGCACAAACACATAACTGCAATGATACAGGAACCGGAGAGATATGCCGCAATATCCCAACTAGTTTTGTCTGTGAATGTAATAGAACGCTTGATCTTGGGCTAGTCAACGGTATTTGTCAAGGTATGTATATAGTATACAAAGAAAGAGTGTATGAATGAAGTTGGCTATATATAAAGATGTGGCATCCCCGTGTTAAATAATCAGTACCAAAGTATTCAATCATTGTTTTAATTAACGAATTGTTCGCATTTTATCTGTTTTACCACGTAATTCATTGGACACGGCTTTGCTTATAAACGAGGACTGCATGAATGGGCTTAATTTTGCAGGTTTTATTATTGTAAGGTTATATCATCATTTGCGCTTCCACGTAATCTTTTTGTTAAATTTTAATATAGCACTCAATGGATCACGAGAACCGCTACCTGAGTCACGTAATGCTACCACGAATCAAACCGACAGTGCAGTTGAATTTACCATACCCAATTTCCAAACAGAACAGGTATGCATAGCCTCCTCCGCAGGCCTCTCTATGGGCTCCACCACCCGATTCCTCGGGTGAGCTGCCTGCGGAGGAGGCTAAGGTATGCACGGGCTTATAAAATAAACCGACACCATGCATTTCACTTTCTAAACCACGCGGGAAAATACTTTAAGGCAGGTCAGAAAAACTTAGTCGAAACTTCGTGTTTAATTTCCTCGAGGGCTTACATCCACGAAATTTCAGCCAAATTCAGTGCTTCAGTTTAAGTCCCCTAACTTCACGCAAACCTACATATTTTCCTAAAAAAGCCTTTTGCATGCTTAATTAATGCCTTTACCTAATTTGCATATTTCAGCAATATGCAAATTACGTAAAGGCATTAATTACGCGTGCAAAAGGCTGATTTTTTAGGGGAAAATGAATAGTTAAAGGGCTTAAACTAAAGCAAATTGTCTGAAATCTTGCTCAGTAATTAAAAACCCAACACATGTTCTATCCATTAACTCAAAATACGATTAAAGTTTTTAAATTTCGTGCGCAAGCCATTTTTAGTTTGTTGGCTTATATATGTATATATATTTTACATGTTATACGTATAGCTTGGGCAATGAAATTCTATTGATATTACGAAACTTTGATGCGCTTTAGTAGCTAGTTACGTAGTAAATTAATCTTATCGCCTATATATGCCTGGGCATGGGATCATTAGACATTAGCTTGGAAAAATCTGACACTTTTTGTGCTTGTAATCCACTGACGTAAACATTTTTTTAATTTTATCTGAGATATTTTGTTTTAATTACAGTATGATGGACAAACAGACGCTCAATTGAGAGCTGCGATTGCAGAGGCTCTTAACAGATACTGCAATGTGGATGCTTCGAGAAGAGCTGAATGCGGTCTGCCGGCGTAAGTGTTCCAGTCGTCTAGAGGGTTGATTAGAGAGTTGAGCTCATAGGGTCGTGCCGCAAAGACATAACGGCCAAACAGTCGTCAAAATATGATAATGAATTGATTATGATAATAAAATTAAAGATTGCATTACAATCCGAAGTGCCCGAATTATAAATACGATGTAACTTCCACTGTTGCACACTACTTACATGTATAGTGAGGACGTTGTCGTACAAGTGTACAAGACAAGAAAATACCTGCAAAACGTCCATCCGTTTATTGATTTTATCATATTTTCTACCGATCGAGGCATTTTATTATGCCGTTGGTCGTTGTCTTCGTATTCGCTTTTTTACCGTACTATATCATTAAAGTGGAAGTCAAGTCCGTTCTGCGCATCGGTTCTGCTCATAACAATGTGAGGATCCTCTAATGTAAACATTGCCCAAATTTCGAATGTTTCGAATTTTTCTGAACATAAACTTTATTTCATATTCATTTAGAAGCATAGCGAACCAAAATGGTGTTAGATATTCAGACAGTATACATCATATTTTAAAAAATACAGCAGTTCAAAATGTAAACAAACGGATTTAAAAACCATTTGTTTACATACGGACTTGATTTCCACTTTAATTAAACAGTTTAAACTCCAAAAGACCAGGAGCCTGGTATTATTTGGTCAGTCTACCTCAACTGCAGTTCTGGTATGTAGTATTTCAAACCCTGAACATATTTAATTTATATTTCAGATCTGGATTTGTATTTACTGAACAAAATGTTCATCGAATACCAACAGATCCAACACAGGATGGTGGTAACACATCGGTATCATTTTACGCTTTATATCCAAATGGTGTGCGTAATGGAACGGACATTCCAGTTCCAAAACAGGTGTTGTCAGAGGCAATAAGGGAAAATTTGGATAATATCCGAGCTTCAACAGGGTTAGATTCGTTATCGTTGGCTGAAGAGACAGCTCCAAGCGACGACGATGAACCAATTGACGACGATGAACCAATTGACTGGCCCCTTGCACTTGGTCTTTCATTAGCAGGAGCGTTGTTCTTGGTGATGGCTGTTGGCGTAGCTTGGATGTAAGTATATTATAAAGAAGTATTTGAATCTATCCGAGATCGTGTTATATATATGCATCATTATAATTTGGTTTAAAACATTTGTAATTAGGATTTTACAGCTTCGTAATGAAAAGCGAAACCAAACCAGATGAATTTACATCCATTTCTTACTCACGTTTGTATACTTCCATGGTGCCAACTCGTTGCTGAGTTTGCATGCTTCTCTACCTTTCGTTATATTTTCTTATTGTGCATGTGCTTTAATTCTTATACCTTGTGTTTACCCCCACAAGCGCTTGACGGAAAGGTTTTATGGTTACTCATTGATTGTAACGAAGACATACAATTGAACTATGGAAATAATTGTTCTAAAGGAAAAATCACTTTTATAATTTAAGGATGCCAGCTATATGCTACATGCTCATTAATTGATCGGGTTATATAAACCGCATGAAATTAACCAACTTACAAGTTAAACTAACTTACCTTATTGCGTTTGTTTTCAGATGTTGCTGTAGATCCAGAGCCAAAAAACCTCACCGTCCTCGACGATTTGTGTACGATGCCTATCGCCACCGACCAAATCGTCGTTTAAATGTTGCAGATTTAGAACCAAGCTTTGGTACATTCCATTCAATGAGTGGTGAAACTTATTCAGGATTTGACGAAGACGGTCTACCCGTAGACATACAAACGGATTATGATGGATTATCTCGGCAAGCACGCACAGTATCACACATCCCCACTGCTACTGGATCACGTGCAAGTTTAAGATAGAGTTGATAGTCTGTATATGCGCATGCGTAGCTATTCACAGTAGTTGTTCACATGATCAATAAACGATGAGACGAGAATGTAACATTGTGATACTATAAGGTAATTAATTAACTAAAACACATCCATGGATCGACAGTATAGGACACCAGACACTGGTGCCGCAAATATATTTATTAACGCCTTTAGAGGTATGGGAAATTTATCTGGATATATGGTAGTTATTTTTTCTGCTATACGAGCTTTTTCGATTATTGATCCTGTAAACAATCGCCTGAAAGTGAACTACTAAAATATTCTACGAATTTAGATATAGTCATACTGCACGCCACCTTTTATTTCAAGGTTTTATTATTCTAACAATATATATAATTATATAATTACTCATATCTAAGTTTACGGCGCAAAAACACTAATTTATAGCTCCTCTTAGTTATTTAATCAACATATGCCAGATCTAATGTGGGCAGAATTACAAAAAATTTCAATTACATAATTAATATCAAGTGTGAGACACAATCATGTTCTGGTTCCCTTACGATGAAATAAGCCCAACACCAAGTGGAAAGAAACAGTGTAGTGAGTTTTCATGTGACGTCACGGCGGCCATGTTGGAGGGCAAGTATCGACATTCAATGGAGTGAATAAAGGCTCATTCTTGCGATGAGTGAAAAAGAGCATTAATAGGTGACTTGCTTAAAACTAGTTGAAATCTTCTTGAATGTGGTAATATTCTTAGCTGATTTTATTTCCTGCTCCATAAATTCACATGGCTACCCCTTACACATGTGCACATACTTGCTTTTAGAAACCTGTGATAATCGATACATAGAAGCAGCGGTATTTGCTACCTTGTGCATTAACAATACCTTATTTAAGCATTAATATTTGCCAACCTAGTTTCGCTCTAAGTTTATAAGTAATTTCGGTGGTGAACGAATAATCTTATATTCACTTTCGAAAGTATTCAGACTAAGACGATTAACAAATTGTCAAAATCTGCGTTAATTCGATCTATCAGTTTCCAAAACATCAAATCTTTCACTTTCCAATGCAATGCTTGTGTCATCTGCATGCGTATTTGGTATTTTATGGGAAAGAACATTGAGGAAAATCCAAACGAGAGTGTTACTGATATCGAAGCTTGAGGTACACCACATTTATACTGTGTCTGCCTTCGAATAAAACCCCATTGACAAAATATCCTTGTCTTCTGTTAGAAAGATATGGTGGTATTTACTAAGATGGTGTTCTAGTAAAATCCAGGGGTTTCAAACTCAAACCTTGCAATATATATGTAAGCAAACCGTTTGAGATTTGTCCATGTTACTCATGTTAAGTTTAAATTTAAGAAGAATGGTGAATTTTCACAGTATTTAATTAACTGTACATGTATTCTGTTTTAAGCCAGTTTTCCACTTCAACCGTACCGTACCGTACCGAAACGTGTTATGCGTGTAAGTAAGCATAAAGATATAAGAGTAATGTACTTTAATTCATAATCACATTGTTCACACATATACATAAAAACCCATCCCCCAGGAGGTCATCGGTAGCTTCCGAGTATGACGCATGACATCTCCCCTCCATAATGCCAGACTGTTTCATTCTCTGTCCGTGCTGACAAATAATAATAATTTAATCAACAATATATAATAATAATAATAATAATAATAATAATAATAATAATAATAATAATAATAATAATAATAATAATAATAATAATTTATTAGCGGTTCCAAATTGAATTGGTTCTTCTATCACTAAATTAACTATATTTACCTAAGTACTATATTTACAATGAGTAGCTATGAAGAGTTAATACATCTATATATACAGTACATTCACACAGTCACAGTACATTTTTCACAAAACAGATGTAACAAAACATAGTCATTTATACCCCGGCCCAAGCCACTCTTTGGCCAAGTCTTTGAGATAGACTTTCACACTTGTTCTAAAAATGTTGAAATCTTTGCAATTTCGCAAACTATCTGGCAGAGAGTTAAATGCAGCTGCGCTGACTGTCCTGAAATGTTCCGCTTTCGGTTGGCACTTCAAGTTGGATTTGTGATGATGATCGTAGAGTTCGTCCTGGTACATACTGATCTACCTTAATATATCCAGGCCAATTATTAAAGTACAAAGCTTTAAATGCAGATAAAAGCACTTGAAACTGTCTTCGTTCAGCTACTGGAGCCAACCCAATTGTAGGGAATCCGCTTCTCTTGCATAACGTCCTAATACGAAACTTGCGCATACTTTTTGGACTTTCTGTAGTTGCTTCTGTTGGTATAGTTGTAGTGGGTGAACACAACACACGAGTAGTCCAATTTCGATAAGATCAGGCTTTTTCCTAGCTGTTTCCGAACGTGGAATGGCTCTAAGTTGCGTAACTTCCTCAGCACAGAAAAACTCCATAACATGAAGAGAGGAGTGCCTTAACATGTTCGATCCAAGAGAAATGTTCGTCCATAGTAACCCCAAGAAGTTTTATGCTTTGCACCCGTTCCAAGGTTTCTCCGTTACATGTCAGTTGAACAGCAGCATCTTGTAGTCCGTGAAGTCTTGACATTTGCCTGGTTGATAACAGTAACCACTTTGTTTTCTTTCCATTCAAGGCCAAATTGGATTCGTTAGAGTATTGTGGGATGGAACTTGAATAGAAGGTTGTTGAAGCTCCTCGGTTTGAGTAACAACTTCACCTTGACCAGGTTGTGAAGATGACGTGGCAGGTGGTGGATCAGGTTCCAAGTCTGACGTGGTAGGCGGTAGATCTTCAATTGAGTCTTGAGGGGAGTGACTGGTGTATGGTTGCAGTGGGTGTACTTCAGAAATGTGAGATGGTGCTGTTGTTGGTCGGATCTGGGTGCGATTTCGGCGAATAATATGGCTACCTGTGTCTATGTTGTAAGACCGTGGAGAGGGTGAACTGACAATTCGACCATACGTCCATGGTTGTCCACACAGAGTTGGTCTTGGTTTTGCATATGCATATGATCCCATAGGTAAAGAAGGCTGGGAAGACTGTACTGTTTTGTCATAGGTGGCCTTAGATGCTGCTCGATGGTTGGTAATCTCTTGGGTCACAGTCCGGGGATCAGGTGAATCTGGTAAAAGGCGTTCTCCACATAGTGGTAGACTAGAACAGGTGCGTCTTCCAATCAGACGTTGCGCCGACGAAAACGAATAACCACGTGGTGGGGTGTTGCGTATGTTAAGGAGGGCAAGGTGGTAATCTTAAACAGATTTAGCGTTCTTAACAGCAGCCTCCGCTTTTCCATTGCTTTGTGACCAATAAGGGGAATATGTGCTCAAACCCATACGACTGTGCGAAGATCTGTTATTCTCTCGACATAAACTGCGGACCGTTGTCTGTAAGACAGCGCAGAGGGATGCCATGTCGTGCAAAATGAGCTTTCGTGTGCTGGACGACTGTCGTAGATAGGGTATCTTTGAGTTGATCTAACTCATAAAAGTCACTATAGTGGTCCACCGTGACAAGATAATAGATCTTGTTGAGTTCAAATATATCTTGTGATACACATTGCCAGGGACACGTTGGTACTGGATGTAATAACATGGGCTCTGCCGCGGCTTGTTTGCCATACTTAGTACAAGTGAAACATGCGGAGCAGGTGTATTCTATGTCTTTTGCCATTCCAGGCCAAAAAACAGACTCCCGTGCAAAACGAAGGCAATACTCTGAACCTCTATGGGATTATGTTTGTGATGTTACTCTGAGTGTATATCCACACCGGGCGAACTTGAAAAATATGCCCGGTCACGGTGGGAATCTAACCTACGACTTTGGAATACCAGCCCAATGCTCTGCCAACTGAGCTACACGGTCAGGACGGTTCGAGCAAGTGATATTTCGGAACAGAATCTAGTTCCTTCGATACCAATGTAATCTAGTAATATGATTTTTTTTCTGTGTTGGTATATCCACACCGGGCGAGCTTGAAAAAGCTTTTCAAGCTCGCCCGGTGTGGATATACACTCAGAGTAACATCACAAACATAATATTCACCTGAGTACACAACACCAACACAGAAAAAAAATCATATTACTAGCTAGATTACATTGGTATCGAAGGAATTAGATTCTGTTCCGAAATATCACTTGCTCGAACCGTCCTGACCGCGTAGCTCAGTTGGCAGAGCATTGGGCTGGTATTCCAAAGGTCGTAGGTTCGATTCCCACCGTGGCAGGGCATATTTTTCAAGCTCGCCCGGTGTGGATGTACACTCAGAGTAACATCACAAACATAATATTCACCTGAGTGCACAACACTCTATGGGATTGGTGAATCTTAACTAATGTCTCAGCTCTAAATGACACTGGAACGACGATGCGAGTGGATTTGAGTATAAGGCCATCAGCGATGGTGAGTTCATCTCTGAAGTTCCAAAAAGATTGGAGTTGTTTAGGTAACTGTTGCTTTGTTGGAGGCCAACCGTGGATAATGTGATGTTCCAGGGTCTGCATGTCGGAACATGCAGCAGTTGCTCTGCGTAACTTCCCACGAGTCGTGTCTCTTACCGAAGTAGAAACTGGATCAACCTGACTGATATGCGCCCGGAAAACTTGGAACATGTCCGATTCCTTTGAAGCCGTAGGGCTTTTTCTACACGGGGCTCTAGAGAGGGTGTCTGCCAAGTCCCTGAAGGTGCCCTTTCGGTAAAAGACGGCAAAACTATAACGCTGCAAGAAGAGCATCATTTTCTGAAGACGTTTCGGAGCTGAGGCAAGATCCTTTTGAAAGATAGACTGTAGAGGTTGGTGATCAGTGTGCACTGTGACGTTAGCTTTACCCAAAAGCCACTGGTCAAACTTGTTAAAGGCTGCGACAATAGCGAGGCACTCTTTTTCAATTTGAGCGTAGTTCAGTCGCGGTCAGGCTTTTAGAGCTATAAGCCACCGGTTGAAGGGACTTTTCGTCAAAAGTGCCGTCACTTTCTTGCCGAGAAGGCTGAAGAAGGGCTGCCCCAAGGCCGTAGTCCGAAGCGTCCACTTGGAATACCATAGGTGCGTTCACATCGTAGTATTTAAGGCAAGGTGCAGAGGTTGCTAGTGACTTGGCTTCATCAAACGCTTAGTGGTTAGACCACACAAATGGCCCATTGTCCTTGGTAAGGGCTCGTAGTGGTTGTGTGACGCTGCTCAGCCGGGGACAGAATTTGCTCAGATAGTTGATAGCCCCCAAGAATCGGCGGATTCCCTGCTTGTCATGGGGTGTTGGTAAATTCGTCACAGCTTCAACCGTTGTTGGATCTGGTCGAAGGCCATCTGAAGTAATGAGATGACCCATAAAGGTGGCACTTGTCTTCATAAATTTCATCTTGGCGGCATCGATCTTGACATGATTTTGCTCAAGGCGTTCAAGCACTGCGATAAGATTCTGGTCGTGATCTACCCTGGCCTCTTTATCTGTGTCACCGCATCCTGGAACTAGGATATCATCCGCAATGCTTATGACTGTGAGGCCTTCAAGGACCATGTGTATCCGACGCTGCCACTCTTCAGAGGCAGAAGATATCCCATACGGAAGTCGCGTCCATGTATAGCGCCCCCAAGGGGTAGACATAGTAGTCATCAGGGAGGAGCGGGAAGTCAATGGGATGTTATGGAATGCCTCTTTTACATCGATAACTGTCATGCACTTTACATTATGTACTGTAACTTGTGCAAGTTCTCCTCCAAGGTGGGAATTATGTATTTTGGCCGACGTATTGCCTTGTTGAGGGTCTGCGATGGATCTAGACAAACACGGATCTTGCCTGGCTTGGTTGGTGTTGCCATTCTTTCTCGGATAACCATATTAGATATCCACTCAGTCGGTTCTGATACTCTTACCAATTGCCCTGTAGCCTTATAAGAATTTAGCGCTGCCTTGATTTTATCAAGCTTGGAAACCGGCTGACGATGGACAGGAGCATGGGTAGGTTTGACATTTGGATCAAGGTCAAAGTCAACCGGTGGACCCAGGTGTCCTATTAATTTAAACAAAGAGGGGCATTGTTGAGTAATGAAGCCCATGGTTAAAGCCCCATAAGGTGGCCAGACTCTTTTGGTTATTACCGGTAGAGCTGTGGTGGTCCAATCGCTGAGGCAGTGATATCTTGCTCTGTCAATGTTTCATTTGCAGCCCTCCAAGTACATCTGCGAACGAAACCGGCGTCAAGGGACAGTGCCCCTAACTTCTTACTTGCATCAACACTCAAGAGTGCTGGTTGGGAAGTGTTTATGACCTGGAAGGTGAGGGTTTCCACATAGGATGATCTAGTAGACTTGAGTTTGATTTGACCAATCGGATGAATAGATGACCCCGCATAAGGTTGCAAAACTGCATTTGAAGGCTCGAGATGTGCCCATGGGATCTCAACAAGGTACTTCGCAGGAAGTGTATTACATGATGCAGCTGAATCAATTTGAAAAGGGACTTTTATGGAATCGTCAGGCTGGCCCGATTGTGGTCTTGATAGAGTCACTGGTTTCGGGTGCTGCGTGGTTGAGGTCTGTTCAGGCTGCTTCTGGTTTGAAATGTCAAAACACTGCTCATGCCGAACTGATTCTTCCCAACAAGGGCGAGGTGAGTCTTGGTTGAGTAACCTGACTTGTTGCTGTTTGATCTTCCTACCTTTGACTGCCTGCATGCACACTTTGGCAAAGTGACCAGTTTTTCGGCAGTAGCTGCAGGTTTTCCCGTACGCAGGACATAACTCACGATGGTGACTTTGCTTGTTGCCACAGTACCAACAGGGCTTTAAATTCATATTCGGCTTGGCCGGCCTTGCAAATAACTTGGGTAGATCCCTGGATGCTGAAGTGTAGTGGACTTGCTCTTCAGTTGTCAAATGTTGGAGCATTTTACTTGTTTTCTGTGCTGCCTCATAGGACAGAGCTTGACTAACCACGAAGGCTAGGGTGAATGGAGGGTCCTCTGGCTTTCTTTGACCATCCCGATAGAAAATATCCTCGCGAAAATGGCTGAATGATTCATTAAGGTTGAACAGAAATTTGTCACGCATGAACTCATCAGATTAAGCTCCAAAGGGACAGCGGTCTGCTGCCGTACGAACCATAGTTTCCCACATTGCTATTGGCGCTGTTGGCGGTTATGTCATTTTCACCCAGAAGTGATAACGGTCTTGCATTAAGGTGCTCGCCCCAACATAATGTTCTTTGATTTTCTGTAGCCATGCCCAAGGTTTTTGTTGATCATCTGCTACTATTTTTGGAGCAATTACATCGTCAAGCGAGTTCCATTCTGAGCTTGGTATTGCCGTCCGAAGTACAGCTATTTCGAAAGGCCGCTTAGCTGCGATGTAATGGTCATTCGTTTGAGTAGTTCTGTCTTTTGTTGGATCTCTGTATCCTTCAAGCAAACAGTAATCATGAAAGCAAGTTTCCCTATGTCTGAAATGATCTCCATTGGCGGATTGGCCCGAACCGCTTGAACGTCCAATATTGTTTCTCGTTCTTTGGCATTGCTCATTTGTTGTGTTGTACGGAAGCCGTGAAGGGACTTCAGACTTCAGAGTTCAGACTTCAGACTTCAGACTTCAGACTTCAAACATTGGTTCCGAGCTTCGCTAAAGCCAACATTTCTTCTGCGAAGCTGGCTAATATTTAAGGCACTTATTTAGTCAAAGCTATTCAAACTAAAGTTAAAAATGGTCAGAATGATTTAGATTGTAAATGCAGACTGTTGGAATGTGTCAGTAAGTTCTGACAGTTCTTTGCAGGTTTAAAGGCAGAACGATAAAACATATAATACTATATTATTTGTAGAAACACCACATAAATTTATTACTGCAGTAAATTTATTAACTTTATTCCGTAAATTTATCAAGTTAAGTATAACACGCGCTCAAAACTAATGCGTATAATATATCACTTGAGGTTATGACTCAATTTTTATTTTTCGAAACGTTTTTCAATCGGCAACAAACTTAAAAAGTATGTTTAGTGCTTTATCTGTAAAATAATGCTAAATTGAAAAGATTTTAGACTACGCCAAAGAGAAAATTATGTATGAAGTTCAGTAAGTTTTGCTTATATTGCTCAGCTTAAATATGGCGTCAATTTTAAAGCATCATTGATAATTGTATTTTAATTGACAATTTTTAACTATTATTTCATGTTTCTCAACCGGCAGATGCATTTAAAAAGGTAGCTAACTGTATAAACTAAAGAATAAAGAAAAAACAAAGTGATTCTAAGAGGAGGAACGCAAAAGCAATGTTGGCTATTAGCGAAGCTCGGAACCAATGTCTGAAGTCTAAAGTCTAAAGTCTAAAGTCTAAAGTCTAATGTCTGAAGTCTGAAGTCTAAAGTCTAAAGTCTAAAGTCTAAAGTCTAAAGTCTAAAGTCTGAAGTCTGAAGTCTGAAGTCTGAAGTCTGAAGTCTGAAGTCTGAAGTCTGAAGTCTGAAGTCTGAAGTCTGAAGTCTGCAGTCTGAAGTCTGAAGTCTGAAGTCCCTTCACCGCTTCCGTAGTGTTGCTTTTAGCGATGCAATTCGAAAATACAAATTTTCAAAATTCAAAATGGCGGTCGAAATGCTCGCACGATTTCACCGATTTTTTGTTTGTTTGTGAACATCTAATCAGTGTTCAAGTAGCGGCGAATAAAGGTAGATTGCACCTTTATAATTCCTCGTTTCGATTTATCCCATTCTTGACACCATCGATTTATCCCACTCTTGACACCGTTTCGATTTATCCCACTCTTGGTTTTACGCCACTATCTATCCGACATGGCGGATACTGAATACAAAAATATATACTATATTATCTTGTTAAAAGAAGGAAGAAGAAGGTTTTACTATTTTTTGAATTTTTGAGTGAGTGATCATAATAATAATAATAATAATAATAATAATAATAATAATAATAATAATAATAATAATAATAATAATAATAATAATATAATATAATGAATTTGTCACTTTATACATGATACAAACTAATTAAAGACAAATAAAGACAGATACAAATCGTGACAGGGGAAAGGAACAGGACTCTCGTCCCAATTAACACCTAACCCCTAAAAAGACGTTAAATATAAATATAGATAAAGAACAGTTTATAACACATTAGTTATAACAACTTATACTAGTTAAGGTTTGAATCGTGACTATAAAATTAAAGTACTGAACGTTTACACACTGCAACTTACCCACTATGCAGATTACAATTATGAATTATTCAAAATCAATTTGGAAATCACGAGTCAATTTATAACATATTTGTAAATATGATGAAAATGGCCGGATGATGGTTCAACAAATCGCAATGTGTAGACGCTGATCACGCAGTGCCCGGAGGTACGTAATGCGATAACTTAGTAGAATACAACTTATGAAGATGAGACTTGAAAATACTTAAAGAATTGGAGGATTTGACAAGAGACGGTAGAGTGTTCCATAGTTCAACCGTTCTAATGAAAAAAGAATTTCTAAAATAGTCCTGCTTGTGTTTAATTATAAGATTATAGTTGTTTGTATTATAATTTCTTGATTGGTATCCAGGTTCAAAAGTACATATATATTTGTTCACATCCGTAGTAATTGCTCCAGTTCTAGATTTAAAAAGTAGGCATAAGTCTGAGATATCTCTTCTGAACTCAAGATTAAATTCGCGAGAATTTTGATCTTCGCGAGTCTAGCTGTCGGCATACGTTAGGTCCTGTGGATAGTCAAGAAAAAACTTTGTTGCCCTCCCCTGGACATTTTCGATTAGTTCTTATGCTTGATGGTATAAGGTGACCATAAGCTGCTGGCATATTCTAGGATCGGCCTCCTGGGTATCCTTGCAAGTTCGTTTGACAAGTCCGAGTGTTCTGTTGGCTTTGGCCACCGTTTCTTCTATGTGTCTTGACCAGGACATGTCACTGCATACAGTCACACCAAGATCTTTGACGTATGGAACACATTCCAGAGGTTGACCGTCCAAATAGTACTGAGATACAATCTTCGTCTTTTTTTCTCGAGACCCGTATAGTGCTTGGCATTTAGATTGTTAAACTTCATCGCCCAGTCGAGACTCCATTTATGAAGGTTATTCATTTATCATTTATGTTTAATTAAAAATCTGTTTTTAACCTTTTCTTCGTGTTTCCGAAAACGTCCGAAAGTTCTTGTTTGAAACATGTAGATGTTCTTCACTTCTTGACGGCCATCACTTCATGATCACAAACATTCAGAGGACGGCACAATAAAAATCCATACAAAACCAATAGAGTCCAGCGATAATCATATATTGAAAAACACAGAAACTTTCAAGCATGCGCAATGAAATATAATAAAATACGTCCCACAATTACAGCGTCTAGGATTTGTAACGTAGTTAAACACGAAAGTCGTTCTGGGGCCGGTTGTTCAAAAGTCGGTTATTGCGGTTAATGCTAACCTAGAGTTAAATTTGTTTAATAACCTAGGGTTAAATTGTAACCCTAGGTTACTTTGCGTTGTTCAAAGCTAGGTTAGCCTTAACCCTTGGTTAAAACAAGGGTTAAAACCCTGGGGCCGGTTGTTCAAAGGTGGGTTAGCGCTAATCCTCGGTTAAAATTTAACCTGCTGTTGTAGTTTATGTATTTCTACACGTCTGTTTATTTCAAAACTTCAGAGAAGTAAACTCCTATCGATCCAGACAAGATCTCTAAAGAAATATTTCCAAATTTATAGACATGCAAGCTGTCAGGAAATTTGCTTTGATGAACTTTAGGTTAAACCTTGGGTTAGAGCTAACCTAGCTTTGAACAACCGGCCCCTGGGGCCGGTTGTTCAAAAGCCGGTTAACGCTAATAAATTTGCTTAACCGGTAACTCGTATTCAAAATGGACGTCGAAGGAGTGAAAAAATAAAACATGTAAAATTCTTGGTGAAACAAACAGTGTACAAGGATTTTATGGAGGAAAATCAACCTCAAAAAGTAAATTCTAATTCTATAAATACTATTAAGATTCTTATTCGTCCCGTATGAGCCTTTGAAATGATTTTATACCTACAAGTTGGCTTTGAATTTACATACGAGCATTAAAGTGAAAGATACGGCAACTTTCTGTCCATTTTGGGGTACTATGGTCTAAGCATGGACATCATAATTTACTGTTTTATTGTACGTGTTACTGTGGAAAAGGACCTTAATTTACAAAATGCCAAAAGAAACAGCTAGATACGTCTGCCGGTTTTCAAAATATAGTTTGGTACACAAATGATGTAATCAAGATTGTGTACACTGTAGTAAAAGGATTTACCTCGCAAGATCTTTATCGCCTTGCCGCCACCAAAACTGTAGACTGTAGTTTTATTAAAGCCGAGCATTCAACTCAAGTTTCTTCGAAAAATATCTCTAGAAAAAATACTTGTATTGCCAAACAATTCGCCGTACCACCACCTGTTTCACAAAGTTTCCATTTGCCATTTGTTAAACAGTCACAAGTTCTTGCACATCCGCTACTGTTTGCAGCGTAGTGTATTACCTAGTAAAAACACTGTTTTTGAAAGCTGTAAAACAACTTCGCTGCTTCTTTTTCTGTTTTTGTGTTCTGTTTTATACTTTTATAGGATAGATAGATATAGATAGATAGATTATTTAATAAGATTTTACATCGCAGCCCAAAAAAGCTGAATTGCGTAAAATTTACAAAACATATAAATTAACTGTAGGTTATAAAGTCTATAGACACATGCATATACATATACATATACACACATACAAATACTAACAGTACACATATTTTCATACATATACATTACGATCTTTAAGGTTCAAGTTAGACTTATGTTATGAAAACAATTCATAGCAAACCTATTTCTTTAAATTATTTGACATTGCGGAAATATAAGAGTTTCTAAAACGATTGGTTCGTATAGTAGGACAATCAAACGCACGTTCTCTCCTCAGGTTGTAAGTGGGATTGTGTTTGGGTGGCAGTAGTTGATAAAACTTGTGGTCTGGGTTGGATACTATTGTCTTGAAAAGTTTTTCACACAGTTTCTGACGCCTGTCTTTGAGAGAATTAATATTATGCTTGTTAAGATTGTTCGTATAAGATGACCCAGGAGATATAATTGAAAGCGCTCGCTTTTGAATGCGTTCAAGATCGTTACATAAATATGCAGGTAATGAGTGGTGGAATACAGGTGCACAATACTCGAGAACTGGTCTGATGCAAGTACAATAAAATTTTAAGATATGGTCAGCAGGAATGCTTGCACGCCTAAGCAAAATTAGGAAATACAAACGTTTGTTAGCTTTCTTCACGACATAGTTGACATGGTCAATCCATTCCAGTGAGTTAGACACCATGACACCCAATATCTTGGCACTGCTGACTAGCTCGAGTTCTTTAGAATTGATGATGATGGTCTTAAGCTGATGTTTCACTTTCTTAAAGTCAACTATCATTTCCTTACACTTGTCTTCGTTCAACTGGAGTTTGTTGTTTTTACTCCATTTCTCTACATCAGACACTGCACTCTGCATTTGGCTTTGGCTATTTCTTGGGACAACCTCGGTTAATGTCGTGTCGTCTACGTACTTCCACGAGTGCCCTTCGGATGGTTTAAGGTCATTGATCATGAGAAGAAATAACCATGGTCCTAATTTTGTACCCTGTGGAACTCCAGATGGAACTGCACCCCATTCGGAGAAGCAATCGTTGGACAGTTTGACGCGTTGCAGCCTGTTCGATAAAAAGTCGCATACCCAGCGAACTACACTACGTGGAACATTCAGGGAAAGGATCTTTTTAACTAGGATCCGGTGATCGATGAGATCAAATGCCTTCCTGTAGTCTAGCAACACCATCCTTACCGCTGCACCTGTCCCGTCAGTGGCAGAAGCCCATGTATGAATCATGGAAATAAGGGCATGCGTAGTAGATGATTTTGGGATAGCGCCATATTGGTTGGGATCAATGATCTCAACGACGGCAGGGCCAATATAATGTCTTACGATAAAGTCCTCAGCTAGTTTTGATAGAGACGGAGTTAGCGAGATAGGTCTGATGTGCTTGGTAATTACAGTCACAGGTTTCGTCTTTGGTAGTGGTGTTACATTGGCGTACTTCCATGACAGAGGGAGGGATTGTTCAGCAAATGAACTGTTCAGAATAACACAGACTGGGTTCGCGAGAAACTCGGCATAATCTTTAAGGAGCCAGTTCGGCACGCCGTCTGGACCAGAGGCTTTTCGAGGATTTAGCCTGACTAATGCTGAGTAAACCGAAGACTCATCAAGCGTTAGAACTTCCGAATCATTATCAACGGGAGGAAGACTGTCAAGTGATTGATATTCCTGCATCGGTTCTAGAAGGGCAGTATTTATAAGGTTGGCGATATCCTTATTTGACTTTCCATCAAGTCCATCAACATGTAATTGGGCGCGAATATTCTCGGTTGGTGTCGCTGGGATCATTCCCGATAACTTTTTAATCTCGTTCCACCACTGACTTGGCTTAACATTCATGAGGTTCGCAACCCTCGAGGTGTAATATCTGCTTCGGAGCACTTTGCGTTCACGGTTAACGATGTTGCGAAGTTGGCGGAATCGTTCTTGTTCTCCTTGTTTGTAGGCTTTCTGGCGTAATTTGATGAGCTTTTTGAATTCGGGAGTTACCCAAGGAGGATCGTTAACATGTAATTTAAAAGACTTGAGTGGCATAATAGTGTCTACGCCAATTTTAACAAGGTCAAGAAACAGTGTTAGTTTGTCATCGCATTTATTAACAAAATTGAGAACGGACCAGTCGATAGAGCTCAGATATCTTCCAAGTTCTTGTCTTCGACTTGAACGAGTATCTCTTCGAGTAATAAAGCGATGGCTAGAGGTGAGCACAGTTCTTACTTTGGGCTGCAGCAGTAACACTGAATGGTCAGATAAGCCAAATGGTGGAAAACTCTGCACCGATTTTTTGTCATAAAGGTTGGGCATGTTCGTAACTATGAGATCGAGTATCTGCTGGCCTCTTGTTGGAGCACTGACGAACTGTTTCAGTTTGAATTGCATGAGAAGTCGAATGATATTTAAACGATTAAAGTCACCAGTGAGTAATATTCCACACCCGGGATAACGTCCTTCAATAGTTGTCAATGAACACGTATGCGTTGAAAAATGCTTTTCTGAACTCCAAAATAATTCGAAGGGTTGGTAACTTGGCCTTTTTGCGGCCAAATTACTCGATTTTGGCTTTTTTATTTCTTGCTTGGCCTTGAAAAAAATGTTTGGCCTTTTATTTGGCTCTATTTTGGCTTTTTTATCTTGAAAGTGACAGGAATTTTCACTATTCTTTAGTATAATTTATTATGAAAGAATGTTAAACCATAAAGCAACATGTAAGAATATAAGAATTGTGTACCGTTGACATAGAATAAACTAATTTTATTGACACCCAATCAGATCTTAGGAAATTCAGCCAATCGTAAAGCTGAAAAACTAACCAATGACAACATTGTAGTTATGTCTTCGCAGAGGTCTCCCATCCCCTTAGTATTTGGCATAAAAATGAAAAATTTGCTTTAAAAATCGTTTGTTACTTTTGGGTTGTTTAGTTGTAAGTTAATAATACTTTTTCATATTTCATTATTCATTTGTGAAAACTGTGTAACACGCGTATTTTTTGCTGTTTATTAAACACCAAACCATTTCATGTTATGTAAAAGTTGGAGACATTTAATTAAAAAAAAGAATTAATTTAAAATATGTTGCAAGCTTGCCAATATCATTTTGTATAATTTGAATTTTTTCATCTATCAACATACTGCACTTAACCCTAGAGAATAGAGATAACCTGACAAATGTAAGTCGAAGATATTGATAAGATTTTTTTGGCTTTTTTCAAAAAAATGAAATTTGGCCTAATTTAGCAGAATTTGGCCTTTGTGTAAAGGTCATTTGGCTTTGTGCATGCGCAAAAGCCTACCAACCCTCCGGCTAAAATTCCAAAATTGATTTATTTAAATGGCTTTGTCGCTTTGATCAAGTATATTTTTTTCTTCAAACTTTCAAAATGCCATGTCTGAAATGTTCAATTTCAGTTGCCTATTATGACCTTATTACTTGTTAAACAATATACTCCCATCTATCCCATTCTATCCCTAGTTTTGACACTTACTTTCCAGCCAATCAAAAACGTTCTTATATTACATTTATTTTTAAAACAAATTTAACCTTGGGTTAAATGTTTTAACCCTGGGTTAACTAACCGCACCTCTAACCCAGTTTTGAACAACGCAGTTTTAACTGAGGGTTAACTAACCTTGGGTTAAGGATTTTAACCCAGGGTTAGCGCTAAACCTGGGTTAAAGTTAACCAGCTTTTGAACAACCAGCCCCTGATTAACATTGTGTAGAATTGGTCCTAATAATCGTTATGAGCATGTTTTAGCTAAATTGCGCAATCCTGAGCCCACGATGCCGCAATGGAAAGTCACACTTGCGACAACAAAAAACCCCCGTAAAAGACAGCATTTTCAAGCAAGTGCAAATTACGACACTGGCTGCGGCCAGTGTAATTAAATCCTTTGTATTGCAACAAAATCAAAAATCACTGCAAACTGCTTAATGAAATTTCAAGGAAATTTCAAGGAAATTTTGAAATAACGTATACAATAATAATCATGATTTTTCTGTGTTAGTGTAATGTACTCGGGTGAATATGATGCTTGTGATGTTACTCAGTCTGAGTGCACATCCACACCGGGCAAGCTTCAAAATATGCCTGACCACGGTGGGAATCGAACCCACGACCTTTGGAATACCAGCCCAATTTGAATACATTTTTTAGTGTTTCTTGTAAACGCAACAACAACCTCTCGTTCGAGTGCCTTTTGTGTAAACCGAAGAAAACCGTGCTTTCCACATATATTACATCACACCCCAACCTTCCGTGCAGCATGCGAGCATCATTTTAGCACTGGTGGTCTGATACTGAGGCCCCACCGAAGCTGTCTTAATGACAAACATCTGAAGCATGCCTCCTCTCAAAGCTTTTAAATAACTTAAAGTTTTTGAAATAGATTCAAAACATTATAATTGATGGGTGTATAACCGTTGAGTTGTTTAATCGTTTTTCTTCACTTGCGAACACTGAACATTTATACAAAATTACGATGTGTAATTTGTAATTAATTACATTTTTAAATGGTAATTTTGTTACCGTAATTAATTACTTTCCTGAAGAAGTAATTGTGATCAGTAATTAATTACATTTTAAAGACAGTAATTTTATTTGTAATTAATTCCTTTTTGGACGGTATTAATTTTGCAGCACTGGAAATATCACATACTCGAACCGACCAGACCGCAGTTGGCAGAGCATTGGGCTGGTATTCCAAAGGTCGTGGGTTCGATTCCCACCGTGGTCAGGCATATTTTACAAGCTTGCCCGGTGTGGATGTGCACTCAGAGTAACATCACAAGCATCATATTCACCTGAGTACATTACACCAACACAGAAAAATCATGATTATTAATTTATTATATCAACGTATACAATCTAAGGAATTTAGAGAAATTTTGAGGACAAGAATCAATCTCGTACCCAGAGCCATCGTCAACGATGGCTCTGGGTACGAGATTGGACAAGAATGAGAAATTTTGATTTTGAAAATGGAAGCACTTGACTGGGTACGAGCAGTGAACTGGTACGAGTAATTGGTCAGTTCGCCACTTCGCCATGCTCGATTTGTTATAAAGACAATATTTTGTGAAATATTTTTTGTATTATTTTAATAAATTCTTGTGAAAATTTAAACACACATGATTCAGTCGAGGATAACTTGTTAAACAATGCTTGTAATGGATAAGGTCGTTGCTCTTATTGCAATAGCAGTAGCAAAGAAGGCTTCGGCATACGCTGTAGTTCGTGTAAGTGAAGAACTATATTGTAATATTTGTTCAGTACACGTTTTTTATGGATTATATTTGTTTATTTCATATTTACTTGTAAAAGAAATGCAAAAAAATCAATGTTCAATGCTACAGAATTTTTTACATCTTCTATTTTGTTCTATCGAGGTTATAATTCGTAGATTGTTTACGGGTATTTATATTAATTTATAGATAGATTTTAGTGTCGTCATATTAGAGCTGAAAATGATGTAATATTTAATATATATTATCTGTTGTAAACTAAGAAAGTTATAGCCTAAGTGGTAAACGTGTGTTAAGCCTTTAACATTATATAGGGATCAAAACAAAGTTGAACATCACTGCTCCGAAAATCCAAGGTCACTAATTATCACTTATTTACTGAGACCGAGGGAAACTGTGTTTTGTGGACCCTCGACCGTCGATGTTTCCCGAGGCGAATTTGTGGACCCGAGACCGTCGATTAGACGGTCGAGGGTCCACAAAACACACTGCTTTCCCAAGGTCTCAGTAAATAAGTGTTTTATTATATATCAATAGTCAAAGAAACAACAAATTAAAGAACAAATGAACGTAAATACATGAAATATTTTATTGTTAAAACGTTATATTAAACATTGGCTCAGGGCTCGAAATAACGGCCGATCAACGATCAATGATCGGCAGAAAATTGTTTTTGATCAGGGAAAAAGCAACGTTGCCGTTCATCTTGATCGGCAAGAAATATATTTGACCATTGTCTGAAAGACATGCTTGCCTGTATGCGGTAAAAGACAAATAAAGGTAATACAAAACACAATGTCATTCAAAAACATGTGAAAAGCTCTTGTTTATAGTTGATACGAGTCATACGACAGGAAAGGCCGCAAGACTATTCTCGCTCTAAAGTAATTTACTATAAAACAAATTTGCAAGAAATACTGTCGTCTCTTCAACAGTCTGCAATCCGAACCACTGACAACGAACACTTTTGTTATAATATTAAAATTTCAAATTGATAGGGTTTTTTGAGTAGGATTTTTTATTTTTAGTAGGATTTTCTCTTTTAATATTAAATAATAAGTTTTAGTTCTTAATTGATAATGCTGCTGTGTTTCTTGCTTTTGTGTGAAAAAAATGCAATAGCTATAATAAATTAAAACTTGAAAAGTGTTACACTATTACTATTGGTATTTAATAAACTTGAATTTGAAATGAAGTTAAACTTCCTGTTCAGATGTGTATTGGCATATTTAGAATTTTTTCAAGGAAACTCAGGCAAATGCTCCTGATCGGTCAGATTTTTATTTGATCTGCAAAAAGTCGTAATTGCCGATCACCATGATCGGGAACGTTGGGAACGTTATTTCGAGCCCCGTTGGCTACACTGCAGTTACTTAAAGCGAACGTTTTAATTACGTACTAGGCATGTCCAAAGGTCGCATCTTCACGTGATGGCGCACATGATTTTTTTTGTTATTTGCCGGTCGATAACGTATTATCTCTCTCTCGTGCTGTTGCGAGGGAGACAGCCTAATTTCGTCACTCTCACGTGATATGCTCTCAACCAATAAAACACTAGAAAAATATGACTTTGACTATTGATATATAATAATTAATATTATTGCAATACCAATTTATAAATAGTCATTTGTATTTGATCATGCAGTACTCATTTCCAACCACCAAACTGACATGAGATCATTTTCAGAAGATGGAAGAAGTGTTAAATGGTAATGTAATTAACCAAAACCCTACCCTAACCCCAACCATCACCCTAACCAAAATAATCAAGAAAATCCAAAAAGAATCAACTTTTTCAATTAACATCAGTTTGGTGGTTGGAAATGTTGGAAAAGGAGTGTGACAGGTTGTGTGATTGTGATTGTATAACAGACATTAGATCAAGGCAGACTTGCCTTCTTTGCTATCTTTGAAAATGATATATAATGAATTTGATACGAACGTCTGCAGTTCTGCTTCCCTAAAATAATGTTCACGAGTCATAGCTAGGAGACTGCACTGAAAAACTAAGTCATTGCTTTAGTTCCAGCAGAACCCCTATGTGAGAGTTTAATAAAAGTTTCATACCCTGGTCAAACAAGAACAATTAGAGTTGCCTAAAAATTGATGAGAGTTAATTATTGACTGGATATTACTGATCAAACAAGCAAAACCTTTCATCAACTCTCATCAGCTCTCACCAACATTTGAACCAGCTCAAGGTTGATGCAGAGAGCTGATGAGTGTGCATAAGAGTGAATGAGAGTGCAGTACGTCAAGTGTGAGCAAGAGTTATAACTCGCATCAACTCTCAACCTTGTTAGGGGGCTTAAATTTTTGTGCTCTTTCAAATATGTAAAGGTCCCACAAGTCATGTAAGCACTTTAACTGCATGGAAAAGACTAACTAAAGCAGTTGCCAAATGCAACATAGAACATGCTTATTATTGCCTTATTTTTAAGACTTCTGTAGGAAGTGCATTGATAATTAATGGCTGTTGCAAAAGCTTCAAAATTGACTAATCACATTTCTATCATCTTTCACAAAGATTGTGCCATATCCAGTAGCTTTGTGGGGAAAGGTCTAGCTATTAAATTGTATCTGCAGCTGTAGACCCAGGGGTGAATGCAGAACTGCTAAAGGTGTTCAGGGTGTTAGCTACAGTAAAAAATTCTGCGTTAAACACGGTTTTCCCAATTACCTTGAGGTCGCAATTTCCCAATTTGGGTCAGCCAAAAAATAGTTATAGAAATTCAATGTTGTTAATACGCCATTAAAAACATGTTTATAACTACATTTGCTCAAAATTACTCCCAAAATGTGGGAAATGCCATTTCAAAGACACAAAAATTTTAAAAATCGAGAGGGGGCAACCGCATGCCCCCAGACCCACGAAGAAATGCCCGACTTCAGGCTAAAATAATTTACCAATTTCAGGTGAACGCGGATTTTTTTTAACACCCTGGTGTTTTTCAGGGGGGAAACCCTTGCAGGAATTCCCATAAATGAAGGAAATGTGGATACTGCACTGGTTTCAACTTTTTTTAAGGGAATGACTTCGTCCAAAAATTTGCCCATCTGTGAAACCTTACAATAAAAATTTAGTCAGTTCACATGCTAGCTGAACTCAAATAATCTCACAATTTATACGAAAAGACTGGCAACCAGAGATTATATTTATAATTCATGAATGTATATTCTTAGGAAAGCACAGTGCCATGCACCCACCTAATAGACACATAATAATGTATTTTCTAGTATTATGGATTTCCAAGAGTGTATAGAAGATTTTGTGAATTCAACAAAAGAGTGACTGACAACAAGCAGATAATTGAGAGAAGGCAGAACATAGCAAAATATTGTATCAGATTGCCAGGTCGAATATATTCATTTTGGTATGTAGTGTGTTTTTTCAATGAATCTAGGATTGCTTCTGACAATAGGGCTGATCAGCAATTTGAGAAAAATGACCCCCTCACCCCCGCCCCCCTCTATACCCTCCTATTATTATTTTACTCTGGGTGTCTAACAATTTCGACAATTTTGTACTTATAAGCAAAAGGTGACCTAGTAATGGGTTAATTTATGGATATTAATACGTCTACTCTCGTTGGTATATGTACCAGGGCTCGAATTTTATCGCGGCAATTGCCGTAGAGGGAGTACAAAATGCCGTGGATCATTGCGGAAACGACGGCAACTTTTTGCCGTATAGTATAATTTTTATACTATTCACTAAATTACCATTGATTAACAATAAAATTAAATTTTTGTTACAGTAATTTGAAAAAATGCCGTGGAAACTGCCAAAATTGCCGTAGACAGCTGTTACGTTCTACAGCAATTTTTAACGCCATTGCCGATTTGCCGTCGATTGATTTCAGGGAAATTCGAGGCCTGATATGTACCATCTGGAATGAATAAATGACTTCTTGGCTGTAGACTAGTTATGGCCGAAGCTTTGCTTTTACCCATGCATTTACGTAAATTATATAGTCTTTAATTATATGGTACTTTCTTTTTTCTAGGACCCTCAAAAGTCGCAAATCATGATCACATTGAAGAAAAATAATTTATTTGGAGTGCTTCCTTTGTACATAATATTTGCGCGACAAAGATTTCTAATAAACATTTTGTGAGAACAAAGTAGGTAACACTAAAGAGACGAAGAGCAGTACTGCATTGGTCTCAAGTAAAAAACAAAATTACAAAACGAAATGAGTTCAGAGAATCGGAAAAGCACGAAAACGGTTTCAGCTTTGTAAAACGGCTTTGGTGCAAAATTTTGCATATGAACTAACGAACATTATACACTTATTGGACGAGGTTGAGCAAAGGCATCGGCAAATAATTGATCTGCTCGCCACTGACAAATCGCGATATTTTGCGATAACCGAGTTCAATAATTGTTTTATCATTTACTGTTTTATCATTTGTGGCCGTCACGAAGTTCAACAAATCTGTACAATAACAATATCTTAAAATTTGACGAGCCATATGTTTAAATGCGCATGCGTAAATCGATATTTTGCAATTGAGAATTGATTTCAAAAGTGCGCATGCTCAGACCATTATTTGCACCAGTTATTTGCAGCTGACGTATTATTCTCACCAGTTACTTGTAGGAAAATTAGCCAATCAACGTTGAGAAAATCAATACGTAAATGATAAAATGATTTACTTTTATTACCGATTGTAATAAATGATTTCAATTCATTTTTCAAGTGTTTTTTTGTGTTGTCCACAATACTTTAATGTGTTGTGCGCAGGGGCGTAACTAGAGGGGTGTGTGGAGGGGTGTAACACCCCCCATTCATCACGCACTCGGCAAAATATGTCTGGTTGACTCGGCAAATTGTTTTCGGATTTATAGGCAAATTGTTTTCGTAGTTTCGCTAAAATTACGGAAAAAGTTAACAAATTACGATACATTAATGGGCAAGTTTGTGAAAAATGTTATGTCCGGAAAAATGTCCGAAAATTTGCGACCATGATGGTCTGTAATCTGTATGCAGTGTCTGTATGCGTGTTTGAAAGCCACGAAAAAAATTGCTGTGAGTGCAGGGCCCCCGTTGGAGGTGTGAAAACCAAACGAAAAAGATTTAATACTGACGATTCAAATAATTTATTGCGAATGTCCTAAAAAAAGTCGTCTGCATGCATGTCGTCAAAATTCATATTGACTCTGTCAAATGAAGATGTGATATGAAAAGTTATAATAATTAGGCATTTACTAAAATGGCATGGTTAAAATCATGATTACAGTGAAAATACAAAAAGTGTCCCACTTCCGCTTCTGTAGTTTGTTGTGATTTACTGTAATTTGTTCTGTTTTTCTGTAGCGATTACCGATTTATCGACAAATACTGCGATAAAACTTAGTTTTTTTCTATTTTTAAATATGGTAAGTTGTAGCAAAGGGAAATAATACATTTTTCGTTAGTTTCATTGCATAAAAGGAACGGAATTTAAATTTTATCGCAGTATTTGCCGATAAATCGGTACTCGCTACAGAAAAACAGAACAAATTACAGTAAATCACAACAAACTACAGAAGCGGAAGTGGGACACTTTTTGTATTTTCACTGTAACAGGCAAAATATATTGTTGATCCTCACCGACAAACAACAATGGTGATTTTCGTCAGTGTTTCTGATTTACAGTACTAGTTAATGTGTCGGTTGCGTGATTTTTTAAAAAAAATTTTGTATTTTTACAAAATTCGCCAAACATAACAGACATAAGACTAATACGTTATAAAATTTACATACAATTCGGGCAGGGACTAACCACAGAGATAATCTCCAATGATGGGGTCCCTGGCCAGAAGACACGTAGTGACCACAATGTATATAAATAATAATAGTAAACTAGGAGTAACCACAGGTTAAAAGTGCGACCGATGAATATTGCATCACACTCCATAACGACATAAAAATTCTCCTTTTCTTAATGATGTGTCACAACAGTATGATAAGTATATACACTGATATATACAAAAAGAATAAAAAGATCAAAAAACAAGAATAGAAAATATAGAATATAAACTACATTTAAACTCCACTCCTTAGCTTGGCGCCATATTGAATTTCGCGGTCGCGCCGGTAAAGGCCTGGGGACTAGGTGCTCTACCGTATCTGAAATAGCCTGATAACAGACCTACGTTTCACCCGCCCTAAAATTCGTCGACGGAAAGGGCGAAACGTAGGTCTGATGAAAATGTTGTCAAAAGCGCCTTCCGCCCACTTTGCATTTTGCGATAATTAACGATGATGATTGACACACATGTAATACCTAAAAATACAATGAAAATTGTCGATTTCCCTTTATTGCAAGTTTGTAAACTAGTAAGAGTCTATAAGTACAGATATTCGAATAAATATTTAAAATATTGGTGCCCGTTGCTTTTATATACTTAAACCTTTGTAAACAAACCGTTACAGCTAGTAATAATACAACATTTTCAACACATTCTATGAATGCGATAAAATCTGCCTACGCAAATTTGGCAATGGCCAATGTGCCATTGTTGAATTGCATCCCAACTCTTACAATTTATACATTTGAAATCGCCATACAATGGTAAAATCTAAATAAAATATCTTGTACGTGCTGCCTATGTTATCAAAATGTAAGTCATGAATGCGCATATATTTGTATCCGAGTTTTATTATTACAAAACTTAGATCGTGTATAAAAAATTTATATATATTGTATTGTTTATTACAACGGAAAGATACAACGCTGAAGAATTTGACACGTACTGCTCTACTCCCCTCTAGTTTTAATTTTAGACGGTAGATACTGATCATAGACTATTTGTGTGATGTTACTCTGAGTGTATATCCACACCGGGCAGGCTTGAAAAATATGCCTGACCACGGCGGGATATTTTTCGATACCACGGCGGGATATTTTTCAAGCCTGCCCGGTGTGGATATACACTCAGAGTAACATCACACAAACATCTTATTCACCTGAGTACATTACACCAACACAGCAGATGATCATAGACTAGTTGTCGTTCGGCATCACAAAATATTTATAATATTACACTGTATGCATATTTATATGCGTTGATTTACCGTTGAAAATATTCTGATCTTTTCAAATCTTTTCATGTTAGCGACCAACCAATCACAACCCATTTCCTTGTGAATTAGCCAATCAGCTTTGTCGCCAATCAGGCGGTCAACTTACATGCACTTTTGACAACATTTTCATCAGACCTACGTTTCGCCCTTCGTCGACCCGCGAATTTTAGGGCGGGCGAAACGTAGGTCTGTTATCAGGCTATATGCTTACCAAGATCCCGCTCGTAATACAAATTCTAAAGAGTGTTTATATGATCCCGCCACTTATCCCGCCTAGACGGGATCTCGGCAACAGATACCGGGATCCCGCCTGAGCGAGATGAAAAATTCCCATATAAACACTTCATCCCGGCTAGGCGGGATGAATTCTATTACGTCATTAGCTATAGTCGTTACGTAGTTGTACGAGAGACAGTACCGCGCATGAGTTAACCAGTTGTACTGTTCATGTGAACCAGTGAGCACCCGCAATTTATCGCTCTGTTGGAACTTGGAATTCATCTTCTCAAGAGGACGCCTATTTTTTCTGGATAAAAAGAGCTAAGTCGTTATCTTTTGTACTTTCTTTATCTTTATATTCGTATTATCTGTAGCATGTCAGACACTGAACAAAATTTAGATGCTGGTGCGGTAGCGCCCTCACCAGACAATGCAATGTTATTCAACATGTTTTCCGAACTACAAAACAGTATGGTAGAAACCACACAATTTTTAAGTGAACTACGCGCTGAACGCAGTAAGGTCAAAGGCAGTCGATTCAGAAGAATCGCAAACGCCAGTCCCAGAGGAGGACACCACGCCAGCTTCAGAGGAAGCAAATACCGATACGCCAGCTTCAGAAGAAGTTCATACGCCAGCTTCAGAGGAAGCTAGTCCATCTGACCAAAGGGTCGTAAATGATGATACATTAAGCATTCTTGGCGGCGATGATTTTGACGATAATGAGGACCTTTTAGATGAAATTGATGAATCGTTACGGCCGTCAGACTCTGTAGGCCCACCGATACATGCAAAAATCGCAAAAATTGTAAACGACAAGTTTTCATCAGATCTCGGACTAGAGAAGCGTAAGGAGATATTTGAAAAATATAAAACACCTGAAAATTGTCCAAAGCTTTTTGTACCAAAGGTTAATGAACCTATTTAGACGAGCCTCAAAGCTTTTTACCGACAGCGTGACTTACGCACAGCAGTCTTACAAGACTCTGTTGTTCGAGTACCAAGCGCACTTTCTGTTACTGTTGACGAGCTACTAAAATGTAGAGAAAACAAGACATTGCCTGATTATCGTACTGTTGCCTCACGTCTTTTTTATTCAATTGCGCTTTTGGGCCATGTTAATACGGAATTATCCTATAAAAGACGGGATTCACTACGCCCATTACTCAGTAACGAATTAAAGCCTGCTTGTCACCGATCGAACAAACCCGAGAAATTTCTTTTTGGTGACGATCTGAGCAAATCAGTCAATGAGGCTAAGTTGCATGGGAAATTCTTGCTGCGTGATTCATTCCCGCGCCAACGGTTTATGCCTTATCCAAACCAAACATTCCGTCCGTTCCGAAGCCAACAACGGAAGAGTCATTTCGGTCAATAAATAATCAGGTAATTGGTTTTCCGACATACTTTACCTCAAAAATCTTGCCAAATTTAAAAAGACTGATTGATTTATTTTGTGGCGGCCAAATTAAATATTTTATTTCACAGTGGGAAGGTTTGACTTCTGACAAAAGTATACTACAGACTGTCAAAGGTGAAGTCATCGAGTTTATCGGACACCCCCCAACATGTTCTATTTATCCAACAAACTCGATTTCAAAAGATCATGAAATTAAAATAGACGAAGAGATTTCAAAACTCTTGGCTAAAAACGTCATTGTCAAAACTTCCCACGAACCAGGCGAGTTCATTTCGCCAATCTTTTCCGTTCCCAAGAAAGATGATAAGGTTCGACTTACAGGGCCGCCGAGAGGGGGGTAGGGAAGGGGGGAGCAAATTGCCCCGAGGCTCTGGGGGCCCCTAGAAATTTAATGTTAGAAATTTAATGGGCCCCAGTCATTTTTTCGGGCGAAATATTTCTGTTTTCGGGCCAAAATAGTTGTGTTTTGGGGGCAATGAACCAAAATTTGGTATGGAAAATTGCGGAAAAGTCCAACGAAAGCAATTATAACGCACTTAAAAAGAATTTATTGTCCGAAAAATTTTTTTCCGGAAAATTTTTTTGCAATAGGGGCCCCTAAAAGATTTTTTGCCCCGGGCCCCCGCCAAGCTCTCGGCGGCCCTGTCGACTTATCTTAAATCTCAAAAAATTTAATGAACATGTCAAATCATACCATTTTAAAATGGATTCCATTAACACCGCCTTATCACTTATGACAAAGCAATGTTGGCTAGCATCCCTCGATCTCAAGGATGCGTATTATACTGTTGGTATACATAAGGACTATATCAAAAGTTCTTAAAATTCTTTTAAAAAGGAAAACTTTTCAAATATACTGTTTATCCAAATGGTTTATCAACATGTCCACGAAACTTTACAAAACTACTTAAACCAGTCTTATGTACCTTACGAAAAAATGGTCATATACTTGTAATATTTATTGATGATATTTTGATCATATCCACCTCTGTCATATAGGGCTGTATTACATCAATTATTGAGGCTGTCAATCTCCTCACTAACTTAGGCTTTGTCCTTCATGTTGAGAAGTCAATGTTTTTCCCTCAACAGAAGATTGTGTTTTTGGGTTTTGAGCTCAATTCCACAACAATGAAAATTAAGCTAACTAGTGAGAAAATCACAAAAATAATGTCTCGTATTTCATGTATACTAAATTCAGACAGGTACACAATTGGGGAGGTAGCCCAAATTATTGGGTTACTTGTTTCCAGTTTCCCAGCCGTTCGATACGAAGAATGTCACTATCGAGCCATTGAGCAAGATAAGATTGAGGCATTAAAAATAGCAAAGGGAAACTTTGATAAATATATGCAATTGTCAACTCGTTCAATTGAAGAACTGAATTGGTGGTTATTGAATTTACCAAACTGTTATAACTTGATCCATCCCACTCCCGTAGATGTCAGTGCTAATTCAGACGCATCTCTCACGGGTTGGGGAGGTGTGCTGGATAGCTGTTCCACGGGAGAGTCTTGGACTGCAGTCGAAGCACAACAACAACATAAATTATTTGGAATTGCTAGCTGCGTTTTTCACTTTGAAAAGTTTTATAAACCACCTAAGAAATAAGCATGTAAAAATCATGATTGATAACACAACGGCAGTGTCGGTAATTGATAATAAAGGCACAAATCACAGTGAGCAATGCAATGCAGTGACACATGAGATTTGGGCCTTATGTGAAAAGCATGGAATTTGGCTCACCGCCGCATCCATTCCCGGTAAACTGAATATTCTTGCCGATAAAGAATCCAGAAACAAAAACCTTGACACTGAATGGATGCTTAATAAAAAATATTTGACTGAAGCTCTATCCAAACTATATGTTTTTCACCTAATATTGATCTGTTTGCCTATCCTATAAACCAGACCCATATGCTAAGCATATCGATGCCTTTACTATTTCCTGGGCATATGAAAAATTTTATTGTTTCCATCCTTTCAGTTGCATTCTGAAGCACTCAGGAAAATAATTCAAGACAAAGCCACGGGCATTCTTGTGGTCCCCGACTGGCCAACACAGAGCTGGTATCCCCTCCTATACTTCAATTTCTAGTGAAGCCTCCACATCGTCTATTGCCCAAAGCCGACCTCTTAGTCTTACCATCAGACCGGGACCACAAACATCCTCTCCACAAGAACTTGAACATTCTGACTTATTTGTCATGTATCAGGAATAAACTGCAAGTGAGGGGTTTCGCCACCGATACAATTGACATTATTCTCAGTTCTTGGCGAGAGGGAACTAAGACGCAATATCAGTCAACTGCAAAGAAATGGTTTGATTTTTGTCGGAAAAACAACTGTGATATAATTTCACCACCATTGCCTCAGGCATTGTCATTTCTGTCCGACTTATTCAAATCTGGTTTGTCGTACAGTTCTATTAATACTGCTAGAAGTGTTCTTTCTTCAATTTTGTCCTGGGAGAGCAATCCTACTCCCTTCGGCCAACTGCCCATCGTTAAACGCTTTATGAAAGGTTTTAAATGAGTCCCGACCGTCTCTGCCAAGGTATTGCTCCACATGGAATGTCAATACTGTCTTCAATTATTTAAGACGTCAGCAAGCACCATCATTATTATCCATGAAAGACCTCAGTCAAAGAGTTGCTTTTCTCTTAGCCCTTCTCAGCGGACAGAGATGCCAAACAATCGGTAAATTATCAATAGACAATATGACAATGGAAGAGACAAAAATCACTTTTTTAATAGCAGATAAATTAAAACATTCTGGGCCTGGTGTTCATCAACAGCCACTAGTTTTTATGGCGTATGTTGCTGATCAAAAATTGTGTATCCTAACATATTTACAGGAATATTTAAAACGAACATCACCCGTTCGTGGTGACAACAAGCAGCCTCTTATCAGTTTCGCCGAAACCTTATACAAACCCATCTCAACGGAAACAATCTCGCACTGGATAAAAAACTTCATGACAACTGCTGGTGTTGATACTACACAATATAAGAGTCCTAGTACTAGAGCAGCATCAACATCTCATTTAGCATCCCAACAATTTGACCTTAAAGATATCTTGAATGCAGCCGGGTGGTCAAAAGAAGAGACTTTCAAACGTTTTTACCATTTCAAAGATAACAATGAATTTAACTTTGGTAGTGCTATTATGAATACACTATCCTAAACAATTGCATGGTCTATTTGTATAATCATTTTATTATGTGATATTTCCTTATACTGTACATTGTGTTTTTTCTTTCTTGCTGTTTATTCTTCGGATATAATATTGGTGCAATGCCAGCTCTAAATTCTCGTACAACTACGTAACGACTATAGCTAATGACGTAATAGAATTGGAAATTAAACGAGACTTACCTGTAAGTCGAAGTTTGATTGTAATTCTATAAGTCATTAGCGAGGAGTGGAGGAGTTGTAGGCCCACACGTGAAATTACACCCAGGCCCGATTATCTCCTCCACTCCAGGCATTGTACCAATATTAATGCTCTAAATACTGGTTAACTCATGCGCGGTACTGTCTCTCCTACAACTCCTCCACTCCTCGCTAATGACTTATAGAATTACAATCAAACTTCGACTTACAGGTAAGTCTCGTTTAATTTCCAATTTTTCCCTTTTGAGCATGCGTAAATGCCTTTATTGCAACAAAAATATGACGTCAAGCACTTAGGGACTGGTCATAATTTATCAGGGGGTGGGGAGGTGTAATTCAAAATTTTAAGGAATGATATTTTGTGACCCTGTTTTGCCATAACCCGGAAAGGTAAAGCCCCCCCCCCCCGGCCCCTCTCTCTTACTTGTGTCAGTAAAAATGTACCTACCTACTACTAGGCATGTAGTAAAACACTGACTACCGGAACACCGGAACACCGCCGGAACCCTAACCCTAACCCCATCCCTAACCCCCAACTCTAACCCTAACCCCAAACCCTAACCGCAAACAAAATGGTGGTGTTCCGGTGTTCCGGTGGTGTTCCGGTGTTCCGGTAGTCAGTATTTTACTACATGCCCCTACTACTAAACCCTGCATTCAATAAATTTTCTAATTGACTTTAAATTTTCTAATTTTCTAGTTGCGCTTTAAATCAAATACTAAAATTTATATTATACCAATACATTATTAGTCATATATAAAACTTTAGTTTTTTCAAACTTTCTAAGTTTAAAGAATCAATTTTTTTCAATGCAACTCAAACAAAATATGAGAAGGCATGTATAAAACAATTAATTGAACTAAAACAGCAGACCCCCTCCCCGCCTTCATAAACTGTCTAATATTTTATGAACCCCTCTTTTTCCTGGCTAAAAAATATGTGACCCCCCACTCTTTCCACCTCCCCACCCCTCCTGCTAAATTATGACCAGTCCCTTAAATGGCTTCATCCCGGCAATGTATTTTGTCCATATAAACACTAGGCGAGTATCCCGTCTAGGCGGGATGAAAAAGTCCCGTCCTGTCTAGGCGGGATCATATAAACAGGTCCTGAATGGGTACTTACCCAATATTCTAAATTTTAGAATGCGGGTAATACCCATGCTAGGTATATACCTGAGCTACTTCAACTGAAAACAAAACCACAAGAATTGGGCAAAAGTGTTACTTATAAATATAATTAACCAGCACTGGTGGTTTAGTGGTTAGGGCACAGGGGTTAGGGGTTTGGGTTGGGGTTGGGGTTGGGGTTGGGGTTGGGGTTAGGATTAGGATTGCTCAGGTATGTACCTAGCACGGGTACTACCCGCATTCTAAAATTTAGAATACTGGGTAAGTACCCATTTAGAAGTAGCGAGACGGTTGCTAAAATAGCCTTCACCATGACACAGATGAGGTAATTACAGATATGAATCTCGCGGCAAATTATGTCACACCGATTAAATAAACTTTAAAATTGTATTAATTCACTATTTTATTAAATTTTGATAATGCAGAGGAATAAAACTATACGTTTTATAGAAAGAAGTATTCATGTTTTTTTTTATGCGAGAGTTATGTTTTGAGGAATTTATATCATTCGCTGTTTTGTTTATATTTATACATGAACATCTGAAATTCCCAGCAAGTGTATTTCACGATTTTAATAAGGAGTAGATAGGGAAAAAAACAAACTTTTGCTAAATAAAATGTTATGTTAGCACTTTTAATAAAAACAAATCCAAAAATAGCCGTCGGTAGCGTAGATTTTTTTAAAAAACAATTTTTCGTCTTTCGAACGGCGTTTTCCTATCACTTTCCTTAGGGAGTGGTCATTATTTATGGGGAGGGGGGGGGTGTTG